TTTTTTTTTGAGTTGCAATATCCATTTGACTTTAATGAACATTAGTTTTCAACAAAATTATCTATACAGGGTGATTAAAAAATGGCGTCATTCCTCTGGAGGTGTTTCAGTAGTACAGAAAAAATAGTAAAAAAATTAATTGTTATTAAAAACAGAGAAATTTGCAAAAAACTATATTAGAAAAACGGCAACAATGTTTTTCAAGGTAATCTGCTTAATTAACATTACGTAAATACCTGTTGCTTTGTAATTATTTAAAACTCCGGTAACCATGGATAAATAGAGAAAGTGATGATAAGATAGACAAGAATAAACGGTAAATTCAACAAGAATGGTTGAATGACGGAACCTATTTCGAAACTCATAACCCAGAATTATTAATTGGTTTACAAATTACAGAAACATACATTTGAGTCTGTAACTCCAAACAAGTGCCTGTGTAATCACCTTATTATGCACTGTTCTCGAGCAGCTTCGTATTCGGTTAATTAACTCCTGCTCAATTTATACTGGTGTTCAGTAATCCATTGGTTTAATGTGATCTTACATACGTGGTAGGAATGTAGCCGGTATTTGGTGCCTGGGATAGTGTAAGTGGTTGTGCAATGTTCTGAGTGCCTCTGGAAGACTCTGCTGCAATTATGTCCAATACTTGTTCCTCTGTGTCTGGAACCCAAACATCATTTTTTTAATTTTTAATTTTTGTTCATGAATGCTTACGTATTCCAATATGCTTCCAACTAAACATGGAACACTTTGTGTTCTACGTGTGTAATTACGTGTGTATCTACTATGTGTGTAATTACATATTTGAACTCTACACTTTTAAACTAATGATCCTCAAGAAAACACGTTTCTCCGTCAATTCACAGTATGAATTCTTTATACTGAAGAACTTTTTTATTTTCAGGTGACTCTGGAAGCCTCACAGTTTTATCACGGAGCACCACTGCTCCAGGGAGCCAAGTGCTCCATCGCCAATGGGTTACGTTGACGGCCGGAATGTGGCCCCCTGTCGAAACTGGCTCTACGCAGCCGTTGGTGCCCCCTTCGGGTCGCCTGCCTATTTTGGCCGCAGTCTTCTGCGGGGCTGCCTTCCTAGTCGCCTTATTGGGGGCTTTTTTGCTCTACTGGTGTTGCATTATGCCGCGAAAGGATAACAAACATTACTGTGAGTCCCAATAGTGAATTGCTTCTTTTCCCCAAGGTACCTTACATCTAAGGTAACCGATTTTCGCAAAATCCTTTAAAAGCTATTTACGCAGACATCTACTAATCAATCTGAGTTCCATTTGAAAGTTATGACCTCAAACTCCTTGTGAAAATTTTGACTAGTTAATATTGAGCAAAACAGAATTGAAATTCCATCTTCATCTGTTCTTATTGAGAATATCCCCTCCTCCCTGCTTTGGTGGAAACAGTTTCAAACTCTTACCGAACTGAGCTGAATAAAACTTTAATTGTTTCTCGAAAAACAAACTTAGTTCAAGAGTTCAGTAATATAATAATAATACCTGCGTTCTGCAAACTGGCGCCCTATCCTCTATGGTCTATCCCTTATCACTCGAAAAGCACACACTACAATAGAAATTTTACATTCAAAAAGAAATTAAATTAGATTTTACCTATTCCTGATCCCTTTATAAGTGATAGTATTGCCATCATGCGTTACACAACAGCACTGAAATTAAAACATTTCTTCAGGTTTAAGAAAAGTTGACCCTAACATGTCGAACTCTTCGACCCAAATTCCTGGATGCCATCAACCGCCACCGTATCCTGTCAGCCAAGCAGCAGTATTTGCTGAACAAAAAAGGTAGTTCTCCAAGCGACGATTTCATTTCGTTAGGGTATTATTTTTAGGTGTGGTTGGGGGTATAGCAACAGGTTGATCGCAAGTGGAGGTCCATTGGAGCCAAATCCATGGTACACTGGGAGAACGATAGGTGGGCCACAATGTACACAATGTCCTGGGATATGTCCTGTACCTAGAAGCAATAGCAATCCTGGGACACAGGTAACATTTTAAAATATTTTTATAAATAAATGAATAAATAATTTTGGACTATTTTCGGTTCTGTCGCGCAGTCTTCACCCTGCCTGCACAAGATTTGAGTGAATAACTGATATCGCAATACCGTCAATATCTTTAGCGTCCCATGAGGAATTTGTTAAGTATTCCCGCTAGTTAAGCAGCTTCCGATTTATTTTAAATGTTCAGTATTTGCCACTATTCTCTGTCTAAGATTGAGACCGAATATTTTGAACGGATCGGATGATTTGAACGAACATTTTGAAGGATTTTCTAAAAGGTTTCTTCTGGAATGAATGTTCTTCACCTCCCTAACACCTGGATAAGTTCAAGGATTTTAATCATGTTATTTAACCAAAGATTAACTATTTATTGACTGGATGTATTATTTTTCAGACCCATCATGCTACAGCAAATCCATTATCAAGGAGGCAAAGACCAGTCAGTCAACCAATTCCAGCAAATATACAAATCGATGGGGACGTTGTGCCTACACAGACCCTGCCGGAAATATCAGAATTTAGCCCCAACAGCCCTCAGTACGCATCTAGCAGTAGTAAGTTAATAATATGTAGGTTTTCACACAAGGGCGGATCAAAAAAACACGCAAATCTTCTGAAATTAAAACTTTTTTGAGAAAATTGCCAACATTTCATTATCGATGAGTCACTTTCTTAAAAGGTCATTTAGTTCTCTCTGGAATGATGTAAAAAAGATTGTTCTTGCTCATTTTGCTTCCGAAAAACGAACAAAAACGGGACGGAAAACACAATTTTGGCCTAATCTTGCACCTAAATCCTGATATTCAAATTTCGCTTTCTGGGTCAAAACTACTCGAATTTACTCACTCATGCTGTTATGACTGAATTGAATTTTCACTTCTCTGTTCAATTTAATACACTCAGGTAAATCTCGACAGTGCACAAATCGTTATAAACGCACAGAGACGAATAATGTCGAGAAATAATTTTCTCCATGTTCTATATTTTTGTTGTTCACTTACTTGTACACTTTAATAGTTTTGTTTAGTTTTAGATGATATTGGTAGCAAAGAAGGAGAAAACACTGGTCAACACGCAGAGCAACCGAGTTTGAAAACTCGAAGTTTGCCGGCCTGGGTCAGATCCAAGCCAAGGCCCTTATCTACCGAAGACGATTTAAATGATTTATATGCCAAGGTATTGGCTAATGTCCAATTTAACATGAACATTTGTTGACTATATTCTCTTTTAAGGTCAACTTCAGTAAAAAGCGGAAAAATCGAATGAGGAACGACGAAGCGGCAATTATAGCTCTTAGTAAATCCAGAAGCCAATTTCTTCACAAGGACACTGATTCGTTAGTTGACAACGAAGCTGTTATTGTTTACGACGAACGAACAGCTCTTTAGATTATAATCAGCTTCAATCCCTAAATGTCAGTAATTATTACTTTTTGTAAATATTTTCTCTTTGTTCGGCGATTAATTTCCGATCCATTATTAATACAATAGGCGACAAATATGAAGAGTGATTAGGTTGAATCATAAAAAAACATAGAAAATAAATGCTAATTGCATAATATTTTAGCGGCTTATTTCAATTGCTTGTTGAATACCAGAACTGATTAGTCAGATTTTACCTTCATTAAGTAGCTACATTGTGATAGATTCAGCATTTATTGCTTCTATGAAGATCAAGTTGTCTCGTCTTTGCCACAATAAACACTTTTTCTAGAATTGTATTAACGTTTATAAATAGAATTACTGTTTAGATGAGAATGTTTTCCAATTTGAGTAATAAATGTAAATTAACAGGCGGTATGCAGAGCGAGTGAAAATTTAATACTGAAGACTGTTAATCTACCGAATACGTTCAGACAGCATCGTATTTCATCACAGGTTATTATTATAGTTATATTGTTCTTTGCCTAAAAAAGTTTTGAAGAATCATTCAAGGGAGAGATCCGATACCTGGTGCTTTTATCACTGTACTAACGATGTTGTGTAGTCACTAAGCTAGAATAAACAAATCGGAACCATTATTCGAAGTATTTGAGAAATTTAATCTTTCTATTTAGTTATTTTTGATATACTTTTTATTCGACCACGATTTCCGAAATAATTTATTTGTCCTAATGTTTAATAAATAAATTGCTGATTGAAGTAATCAAGTATTTAATTGAAACGTAAAAATTATAGGTGTCTATATTAAATATAAAAATATGCTCAATTTGCGTCTAGTGCCTGTTTTTAGCTTAAATTTAGTGATGCGCCGTCATACAGACCTTACATGCGACACCGTCTGTCAAAAGGAATTAAAATTTTGTATTGAAAGTTTACAAATAATGTCAATGTCAATTGAGGTAATCACACAGGCATTAACTTGTTTGGAGTTAAAGACAGAAATGTATGTTTTTATTCGAATGAATCTAAAAGTGCGATTTTACGACAGAGCGATGATCAAAAAGAAGCACTTTTCTTTACTGTTCATTTGTTTTACTTTTACGCACATGTGCGCAAAAGCAAATCTGACAAATTGAACGTGACACTGTCAGGAAATATTTTGAAGTATTTTGATTAAAAAACAACCGACAGGTTTTTTTAATGAATTACGTAGGTTTATCAACAACTATTGATCATAATTTAAAGTTTACTTACAATTTGTAAATTATAACTTTGGTTCAGTCTCAAAGTCGTTCTAATGGTCTATTTTTTGCACTCGCCGATGTTGCCACAAGCAAAACACGATTTTTTTAAAGATCGCAAATTTTAAGCAAAATGTGCATCTTATACAAACACYATACCGTGAAAGCAGCACWTGGATTTTCAACACTCATTATTTCACTTGTATATGCTTACAAAGTTCGAAAATCCGTTTTTCGCACTCGTATCGAAAACTACTATTATTCGCACAGATACAAATAAATTCGAGGTCGTCATGACAACAAAGAACAATTTGGCGTTGGCAGTTGACAACATGACTGGAAAACGAAGATCCCTACATTTAAAGAATGCTGTTAAATTTACTGTTTATCGTTATCTATTTCATTGCCACTTTCTCTATTTTTCCGGAGTTTTTAATAATTACGAAACAACAGATTTTTTAACATAATAATAATTAGGCAGACTACCTTGAAAACATTGTTGCTCCCTATTCATATTAAAGGGCGTCCATAAATTGCGTAAGGTATTTTTTGATCAGTCACGACTTCCATACCCAGTTGTAAGATTTATTAAATTACCCTACTCAGGGGGGGTTATGTAGTGGAAGTTCAGTCTTTTGCTGTCTATGAAATTAGAAAAAATATCGTTAGTCGGTATAAACTCAGTGCAAATCCGCCCTTTAATTGTAACACCGCGCAAAAGTTGATGTCGCGAGCATAGAGAAAGTAAAATAATTATTTTACTTACTCTATTGTTGCGAGTCACCAGAACAGACCAGAGTCAATAATTTTGATCATTGTCAAAACTATATGGTTTGGAAATGAGAACATAAAACTCAAATAGAGATAATTAAATATATTAAACTCGTAACGTCTAGAAACATAGTTTGCAGTCGTTGATTAAACCTGTAAGATCAAACAGCAGGCTTTTAATGGTGAACAAAGTAAAGCTGTACGTGATACAAACACCAATACCTACTCTAATTTCTAGTAATTGGGAAGTTTACCTAATTTATCACCCCGATAGATACGAACAGAACTTGGGAGGTTCTAAAGAACCTAGCTAATATTCCGAAGTAAATAAATATCTTCTGTTACTAATGGTATATTTAAATATTATGTGATATATGTAACATAGAGCAAACTCTATTAGAATGCAATCCTGGGCTTAATATCAACTCATTTAGGCAAGACACCTTGACAACAACAAAATGAGAACGCTAAGGAAATAAACTAAGCCTAGCATACTATGAAATGGAAATTTCGTAACACCTTCATTATGAATAAAGAAAACCACTTCAACTTCATTTGTGCAGTACTTTAACACATGTAATATGCGCTTGCATATCAATTTCAGATTGCTATTTGAATTACGTAATGCAATACTGGCTAAATTGTCGCAGAATTTAAAATATATTAGAAAACGACACTTTACAACATGATCTGGGATTGAGAGACACGAAGCCTTCAAGAATATTGAATTTTTGTTTTTCATTCAAACCAATGTTTAGTAACTCAACTTTAATACAAATTATGCAATTTCGCTGTCTACATATTTTTGTTCGATTAAAATTAAGCCGATTTAATAATATTGCAACGTGAGGTCGTGAGGAGATGCGCATCTAAAGCTATTTTTCTTTAAATTATTTATTTATTATACATTTTCCTGATATTTGTATTTTAGGTCAATTAGAATCAAGATTCTGATTGTTTTCCGACTAAATAGGAATCCAGATTGGGATACTGGATAGCACTCGCATTTCGTCGCAAAAATGCATATTGATGCATTTGCCGTTGTTTTTTGTTCCCACTGTGTAATAATAATAAATAATCTAATTTACAATATTTAATTAACAACAATATAATTTAATTTGCTAGTACATGTTGAGATTTCCCATTGACTTAGTTTTCATCCACTTCTTGTTCTTGATCTTCATCGAAATCCCCTTCTTCATCGTTGGTTGCATCTTGGCACTGTTGGTATTCAGAAATTAAATCATTCATGTTGGTTTCAGCTTCAGTAAATTCCATTTCGTCCATGCCTTCGCCGGTATACCAATGCAAGAAAGCCTTGCGCCTGAACATGGCGGTGAATTGTTCGGAGATACGTTTGAAGACTTCCTGGATTGCAGTGGAATTTCCAATGAAAGTAGCAGACATTTTCAGGCCTCTGGGTGGAATGTCACAAACGGCAGTCTTAACGTTG